TTCCTTATATTAATTGATTCACCTTTGAATGGTTATGATTCTTTTTTTTTCTCTCTTCCTTTATTACCATTGATCCATCTTTGTACGGTTATGATTTAGTAGCCGGAGATAACATTGTCTCAAACAGCTTGAGAAACAATAAACCCTATATATATATATATATATATATATATATATATATATATATATGGAAAAAATATTTCTCCGACAACTTGAGATGAACTTATCTTCGACCACCCAAAACTACGCTTTTTATTTATTTATTTTCTTATATTAATTGATTCACCTTTGAATGATTAGGATTTCATTTTTCTCTTTCTTCCTTCATTACCATTGATCCATCTTTATACGGTTATGATTTAGTAGCAGGATATAACATTGTCTCGAGCAGCTTGAGAAATGATAAGCCCTATATATATATATATATATATATATATATATATATATATATATATTATCGCAATAATGTTTTTGTTCTTAATTAATTGTAATTGCACTTTTCCAAATTGGCCATCTCAATGAAGTGATCCCAACAGCTGTTTGATTCGATTTCAATGCTCATGAGCGTATCACGTAAAACATGGTGACAGCAATACTATAACGATTTTCCATTTTGATTAGTTCTTATAACTTATTTTCCATTTTGATTCAAGTGATTTGGCAATTAATACACTTGAGTTGGATTGGAATCTGCAATAGCTGTATGTTATAACATTAATCAAGCAATAACTTATAATAATATCATCAATTTGTTTGTTGCTTTGCTTTTCATGTGGATCGTGTTTTGGTTTTGCACAAAGTGAACGAAATCTACCTTGTTCAATTATTCTTGGATACTTTGATTTCGTTGACACACACAGCATGTGAAGAGAAGCTAAGCTTTATTATGTTGTTTCTTGTCTCCCAAATATATATAGTATGTATGTGTATGTCTTATATATAGTGGCTTTGACCAAAGTCTAGTGGTAGCAGTTGCTGAAATATGAGGAAATTTGCGTGTGCTTAAAAAGCAAGACAGGATTATCCGCGGGGGGGTGGGGGGGAATGACCATGGAGATTGTAGTTCAAATTTTTTCCATTAATAAATTGGTTAATGTTAAAGAAGAGGTGAAAAAACGATAGCATCGAGCCCTTTCAAATGAGGATATTAATCCACCTGTGAAATTGGCACATAATTATTTTGAAAAAAAATGGGGCCGAAATTGCATGAAATCATTGAAATGGTCCCTAATCTTCTTTACCAAATGGGTGAACCTTAGAGACATAATAAAGTCATTTACAAACTGGGATACCAAAAGACAAAAAAAAAAGCCATTTACAAACTTTTGCTTAACAGCTTAAATTAAAAATAAAAAAAATTGTTATTGATATTGATCTGGACAAATATGGTATGGATGGCTCAATACGTATTAAGCCCAAGTCACACACGGTTAGACTCCTTCGGTAGTTTCGGGTCTGGGCCTGGTACAAATATGGTATGGATGGCTCAATACGTATTAAGCCCAAATCACACACGGTTAGACTCCTTCGGTAGTTTCGGGTCTGGGCCTGGTATTGCAGTTGGGGTGAGCCTGAGCTCTCTATCCTTCGTCCTTCTCGTTGCACCAAATGGGGTACCTGCGAAGACACTCCGATGCTTGAGTCAGTATCAAAGACAGGTGTTTATGTTGTGAAAATAAAGGATGATTGTACCTTGGTGATACATCGTGTGTTTATATAGTAGTTGAGATGTGTGCTTTGGAGGATGCATTTCTTCGTGGTGAAGGCAAAGGTTCCTTGGTGCCAACGTAGTGCGGCTGTCATGGTTTAAATGTGGAGGAGCTTGCCGCCACGGTGTCTAGTAGTAGAGTTATGGCGAGCTGGAGTTGTTCGTTGCTTACTGGTGTGAGGGCCCGGTGGTGTTATCTTGGCCCTTAAGTTTACTGTCTGTAAAAGGTATCCTCTTGCGAGGTGAGTAAGTACATCTTGCGTGCCGCGATGAGGTCATCGCGCCTTGTATGACACGATATGGTCATCGCGTTGGTGTGCCGCGATATGGTCATCGCATCCGTACCTGTTCTTTATGCCTTGTTCTGAGTCCTTAATGGATTTGGACTTCCATGTGTTATTAGACCTTGGCTGGACCTATATTATATCCGGATAAGATATGTTACGAGAAAATCATGAATATTATGGACAAGGAGAAGTACTACATTTTGTAATACAGAAGAATAAGATAATGACGGGCATTTTTGAAAAAATAATAATTGTTTTTGTCTTGGGGAACTAATCTGATGATGTAACATTGTATAACTCTCCCGAGTACTCAATGCCCAACCAGATGAACGGGACCAATGAATGTAAATTTAATATATTATAATATGAATGATAGTCTTAGTTTTAAATGATTCAATCAAATTTTCATAGGTTTTTCCTAGTACTATTTTTTCCCCCTCAAAAACCTTAATCGGCAACTACTACTAATCAAAGTTAGCTACTTTTACGAAAAAATTATTAATTCAAAGTTAAGTACCTAACCAACAAGACAACGATAATTATTCAATAAAGTAAAACAACCAATCTGAAACGCTTCCACTCAAAAATATATTTTATTAGGTGAAATTGGAAACGTTTTAAACAACGATTTTAAGAAGGCGTTTGGTAGAGAAAAAATATTTTTTTACAGGAACCATGATTATTAGAAATATGGAAAGAATATTAATTTCTTGGAATGTTACAAAAAAAATTATTTGATAAACGAAAATGGGAAGGTTATACTTACCATCTATTTTCGTTTACAATTGCTTATAATCATTTATCTTAACCGTTGATTTCCGTCAATCAACGATTATTATTTATTGTGAATTAATAATTAATTAATAAATTTATTTTATGAAAATCTTAATCGTTGATTGGCGAAAATCAACAGTTAAGATATAATTGTAAGAATTATAAACGAAAATAAGTTATAAATATAACCTTCGAAAATATTACTGGAAATTTTGATTAATTTTCCTAAGAAAAGGATGCAAATCCGGTGGCAGACAGTTGCTGGTGTTAAGTTATTCTTGTCCCTAAAAAGTATATGCTATCTTGTTTTCTACCCCATTCTAAAGATAATGACAACAGCATGGGAAAGCTCTAGTCACGATGTGTCGCACAACATAGTAGTATCTTGTTCTCACGGCAAGAATAATACTTGTCAATAACATGTATTATGCACATTTAAAATTGGAAAATATAAAAACAATGATGTAGGAAAGAAAGTTTGGTCACGTCGAATACATAATTATAATATTAAATTTATTTTTTATATTAATTGACAAGTCTTTGAGAAAAAAAAAAACTTTTAATATTATAATTATGGGTTCGCTTTTTCTGCAGTTACTGTAGATAAGTTATCTGCAGTAAGCCAATACGACGTCATTTTGGGACGGAAATCATGGTGTTTTTGTAATTTTAATTTATTTTAAGGTTATAATAATCTTTATATTTATAATTCTTTAAGATTTCAATATTAAAACGACGTCGTTTTGGAAATAAATGCAGATAACTTATCTGTATTAACTGCAGAAACATTATTCCCTATAATTATATACTTCTTCATATAATACATAACTATAATTTTTAGTATGCCCAAATCTCTTTCCTGGAATATTATATCCGATGGACCCTTTAAAATAAGACATGTGCAAATGAAATAATAATAATAATAATAAAAGCATATATTTAACTTTCAACATGACATTTCTAACTTTGTCCTGTAAATGGTTGCTTGTAGCCAATTAGATAAAGAGTCCATTTGATTTGTCAAAATAATGGACAACACAGTATTAAAATATAGAAAAATAGTTTTCATTATATATGAAAAAAAAAAAATTTATGCTACACACACAATTAAAAGGTGAGTCTCATTTTTATTTTTTTTATCTTTTCACTTTTTTGTGAACCCCACTCATATATTATGTGTATAATAAGAGAAAATTTTCTAACCTAAAATGAGAAAATTAATCCCCTAAAATATATCGTATTTTATTTTCAAAATAGTTTTAAGTATAAAACAAAAAACAGTTCAATGAATGATATACAATTCTAAATTTTTTCATTACCCAATCAGGTGATAAAACTTCGTTCATAGTAAAAAATAGTAATAATTGTTTCCGCTTCAGTTTTCAATTTTATTATCGCGTATCAAATACAAAGAATTTCACAATAAATTTTGCGTGCAAATTATACAAAATTTATAATTTTATACAAAAATCAGCAGAACAAATAACACAAAAAAAGATTTCATTGATCACAGGGAATCAGTGACTTAAAGCGGTGGTCACTGCCACTTAATGCAAAGAGACCTACTCAGCATCCTGATTGAGTAAAAATCCACATCAATCACAGACACCTACCGTGACCCTGGAAGATGGAGCTCTCACTTCAAGCTTTGAGAGCAACACTCAACAACAACAGCTCTACCTTTATGAAAAAGTTTAGTTATTCTCTCTTTCCAATATTATTGTATATAACCGTAACGGGAAATATTAGCTTCGTGTAATAGGACACAATAAAAAAAAATTCAAAAAGACATAACTTTAAATTCTTTTTTTTCTTTTTCTGTGCAATGAGATCCACATAAGTTTATGAGTGTATCATGAGATATCTTATCTCATGTTGCATAAGAAAATATAATCCCATAACTATATGTTTATGGTTTTCAATCACTTAACTTCTATTATTACCCTTTTGGCCGTTTAGAACAAAGTTCTACTTTACACATCACCCTTTTGCCAGTTTAGAACAAAGTTCTACTTTACACATCATTTAGATGGAGAGTTTGAGAGGGTTCAATAACTCTAGCAGGTCATGGACTAACACCCTAATATCTATGTTTTAGTTGAGGCCTTTTCGTTATGCCTATTATACCAACCTATCCCAGAGAAAAGAAACTTTGAACAAGGTTGAATGATAGTACTTTCTTAATGAAAACAAATGGCTTGTTTAGTAAAATTAATAAGATGGTGGTGACGTATGGTTTACCAGTGAGGCAGTGATATATATATATATATATATATGTTGCACAACAAACAGTTTTGGTAGTTCTACAACAAACAGTTTTAAAAAATACTATACAGTTGAAGTAGGGGTCTCAGTTGTTGATGATGATGATGATTCCCCAAGAAACTCTGATCTCAATTTCATCAAGAGTCGACCAAGATAGTTTAAGCCTTCTCCCTCCCGTCCTCCACCCCAAAACAGATCATGTGGTGAAGCCTCAACAAGAACAGAACCAGCAGTTGAAAGCAGCATAGAATTCAAATGTGGGTACATTGAGAACTTGCATTTCAGTGCCCTGTACATGACATCGATCTTTATGTTGTCCCAGTCAGACCTTATCTGTGTACCCAATAAAACATAAAGTTTCAGTCCTCTTAGAAAGAAATGGTAAGCGAACCAACCCAACATGCATGCTCAGACATCATGAGACACTAGCTGATGTATATTATACAGTAATTTGGAATATGTTTCAAAGTTTTAAACTAGCATATGCAATAACAAGAACTAAAACGATTTTGTTAAGCATAGAAATAAATACTCTCAACAACGCGTATACAAATAAGAAGAGTTCTAACATTTTTCTTTTAACCATTTCTCGAATTGCTGTCCAAAGAACAAAAAACTCACTGAAAAAGACAAACCATGGATTGAAATATAATTGGCATAATGCCTAAAACTAATGGATAGGCCTAGTAAAAGCATCTTTCAAGGTCAATATTCCTCAAAGCTACAAGTTGGATAACCCCTAACTCGAGTAGGAAATTATACTTGTACATAGCTATACAATAAATGTAAACAGACTTCTCATTACAAAACCAATCTACTGTATGATAGTGACTTCCATCATATCATAGGGCTAAAATCATGCCCAATAGAGAAAACAGCAAAAAGAAAAAAAAAAGATGTTAAACATAAAACCATTCATGTTCCTTCACCCAATCATTTGGAATAGTTGGTTCATGACATGGTATCAAATTATAATCATGTGGTTTAGAGTTCAATCTTTGTTGTCCATATTCTTCCAAATACAAAGCTAATCGTTAGTACAAGGTAAGGTGGATCATTGCAGTTTTCATGCTTCAAACCCAAAGGCCTCTTATATGAGGGGGCATCTCATATGTAAAACCATGTATGTGCCTTAACCCAACAACTTAATAGATTCATGACAAAAGCCACAAGGGAAATAATTGTTGCCAATTATGTCTCTAAGTTAATAGGTCAAGAGACATCAGATTGAGAGTTTGAGACTAGTTTGAAAATACCACATCAGGTCGCTGCCTTTGCATTAACCTTCCTATTCTTGCAGCTTCTTCCGGACTGTTTGCAGATTTAATCCTTTCAATACAATTTTGTGCAAAGGCATCATCAACCCCAACAAACTTCTGTGCCTACACATCAAATTATATTTGTAAGCAATGCAACAAAACTGGAAAGGAAAAGATGAAATTTATGTAAAAAAGCAAGTACCTGGTAGTAATGCTCCAAACTCAACCAAGTCACGTAATCCCCATTTTCATCAGGCATTTGAATGGGATGAGGAGAGAAATTTGCCAAAGCACCATAAGGATCCCATGTTTTATAGAAAAATATGATGCTTGACTCATATGGTGAGACAGTAGGATCAACAACAAAAGTTTCATCAAGTGATGGTATTATAGGTACCGTGTCTGGTAAGGGCTGAAGAAATCCACTAATAAGCATGTCAGGCCCAATCTGCATTACAGTTGCCAGTAGCATGACCCCATCACAGAAAAACAAAGGCATTATATATCAAGAACAACGCAGCCCTGATTGGGAAATTACTTCTATTAAAATAACCAATGCTAGAGACATCATAACTTTTTCCTTAGATGCATGTGATAGATACAACAATAAATACATGGATCAGATGTATATCTTTGGAAAGATTTAAAAAAAAAAACAAAAAAAACTCAGTACTCCTAATAAAAAACAAACCAACTCCTACCAACCTGCTCATAGCAAACATCAATTAGATTTAAAGCCTGTGACATCTCAACCATCCCAAGATCACCCACAGGAGATGGTGCATTCTTTCCGCCAATAATTTTAGGAGCAACAAATGCAAAAACCTGAAGCACGTAAATATCAAAATTATCCCAACATATTATAAAAAAAAAATTAAAACAAGATAAAGCAAACTAAGCCAAACTAATTCTAATCGGAATTTGTAGTGGAGAAGTACAACTATCCAAACAAATGGAGCCTTTAGTAGGGTTAGTCTCTTCATCATGAAGCCTCCCCAAAACAAAACAATAGCCATTATGTAAAACATGAAACAAGAAATCGAGACACAAATGAAGGGGGATCACCCCAAATCAAAGATTGTTTTCATTCTTATTTCTCATAGAATTTTATTCTTTTCTACCAATTACAATAAACACAAGAAAAACAAGTAATCGTTATCAAGTTAAGACTGTAGACAAATTTCCATTCAGTTCATTGGTCTTCTACCAGCCAGATTCAAGAGGCCTAGAAATATGGCATTACTGATCAATTTGGTAGATGATCAAAACAGATAAAAGCATCCAGTGAACATGGCTTGATTATCCCAAAAGTTTGCATACAACCCCACTGTTGCCTATCTATTAGCTTATAATCGACTATAGAGCAGTAAACTAGCTACAACAACAGAGAAGTATCCTAACAAAGTCGGTGACAAGACAAACTCCATTTCAAATTTTGCCAGGGGAAAGGGAAATGAAAAGGATAAATAAAACCTTGTGAATTACTCCAGATGAAATAGCAGATGCAGCCAACGCTCCTCCGCATTCCCATAAAATTGAAAGATACCCACGATCATGGAAATATTCCATAACATCTCGGGGATTTAATATGTCAAACTCCACAACTTCAACTCCTTTAGATGCAAGCAGCTTCTGGAAACTCCTCCTTGCACCCCTCTGTGTTACAACTATGGTAGAAACCTCAGACATGTCCCATAGGTTTGCTTCCTCCGGAAGATTGAGAGTCTGGGACATTACAATGCGAATTGGCATATGCCCACCTCCATGTCTGGCCGTCAGTCTTGGATCTGATTGAATTTCAAAGTATAGAAGGTATAAAAATTCAAATTCTGAAAAATGTGTAGACAATAATGACGATACTCACTGTCCCTTCGAACTGTATTTCCTCCCACAATAACAGCGTCACTTCTACCTCGTAGCTCAAAAACTAGATTTCTAGATTGCTTGCTACTTATCCATGATGCATGGCCAGTGCTAGCAGCAATTTTTCCTGTTGCAGCAAAAGGAAGGTTACTAAAACAAGACAGATACAGAAGCGGGTGTAAATTTTCAGAACTGCTTTAGCACATACTCTCTCACTGAATGCTCAATGAGAGTACAGAAAATTTATCCCACAGTTTAATGCAATTTTGAGGTTCTATACTCCAATTCATTCAAGATTGTGGAAAAAATGGAAAATTAATAGAATTCTCACCATCAAGGGTCATAGCATACTTGAGAACAGAAAAGGGAACATGTGAAGCAGCTCTACAAATCAAAGGGGCATTGACAAGACGACATGCTTTCTGGGCATCCTGCAAACAAAACAAAGAACAATGGCAATGCATGAATGTAAGTGTATAAAAATGAATCAAATCAAACCCCATTGATCTCTATAAAAAAAATCAACCTTTCCATTTCAATTAAAAATATAAATCATGGTAAAGTTAAGTTTTTGATTCGACAAAGAAATAAAAACCAAAAAGTAAAATGCATTGATGCATTGCACACACCTCTATAAGTTTACCAGTGAGATCCTCTCCAAGAAGATCAACATCCAGTCCTTGACTTCTGAGTGCACGCACAGCATTACCACGAAGATGTTGCAAGGGATGCCTCATTCCAACAACAACCCTTTTGACCCCTCCCTAGTTTGGTTTCACAGACACGGTCATTTATCAACTACAAACACAAACTAGAGTCAAAAACCCACCCCCAACCAACAAACAACAAACAACATAGTATTTTCTACACCAACAACATTGTACACAACACAGATTTGGAAAACTGAGGAACCTGAAGCAGAGCAGACACAGCAGCGTAGTCACCATCACAGTCCCCGGGTTCCATGTTCAGGTAAGCGGTGGCGCCGCGGCAGCGTTCGCCGGCGACCTCCACGGCCTGCACCTCGGCGGGGGTAGTGCCCTGCGCGTACAGGTAGCCCTCGCCGGCGACATCGCCGGTGGGGGTGGCGATGACGCAGCCGAAGTTGGGGTGGGGGGAAGTGAAACCGGCGGATTTGTCGGCAAGGTCGGCGGCGCGTCGGATGTAAGCGGCATCGAGCGCGTGGGGTGCGTTGTGGGGAGTGTCCATGGACGCTTTGCATTTGCAGATAAAAGAAGAAGGGTTGACACTGAGATTGAAACACAACGCCATCATCAACACTCAAATTTGCGTTTCTTCGCTTCCCGTTTTCTTCGTAAGTAACTAAGTGATGGTATTATAGTACACTTGTGTTGGATCTTCTTAGCCCAATGTGTTCTAAGTGAACCACAATCTCAACCAATCAAAAGTCAAAACCACGTATTCTGAACATGCGTAGCTGTTGCTGTTGCTGTGTGTTTTTCGGTTTTTTTTTTTTTTTTAACAACAATGTTTGAGACTTGAGAGAGATACTTATTTCACCAATATTTATGGCAATATCTCAAGCGTTTATTGTTTATCTGCTTTATACACAAAGTGTGTGGGATATATTTTTTTATTTTATTTTTTTTACGTTCCGTACAATTTTATGTGTATCTAAACATTAATCTCGTATCTTAATCAAAGACATAAAAAGGAAATAAATAAATGATATATAGCTTCCGGCATGGTTGGAGTTTGTAACGCTTCTACACAAGGATAAGGCAGAGGAAGGAATGAAAACATAAAAAAAAAGAATTGAAGGAGGAGCGAAGAAAGTTGAGAAAAACTTCAAATCTGGCAGGAGCACTGAATTCGAGGTTCACTTTTACTAAATAGGAAAAAAAAAATTCTGTATCCATACTTTATTTATATTTGTCTTTAATGGGACGTTTGGTACGTGGTATTTGGCCGGATTCCCGAGAAACTGAATTTTTCTAAATTTTAAATTTTCGAATATTATCGTAAACTGAATGTAAAAATCATATTTTTGAAAATTGAGATTTCCGGACAAATAAAAATTTCTCCTGTACCAAACGCCCCCTAAATAGTAAAAAAATTTCCCTCCCGCTACATTAGTTTTTTTATATGCCAACTGAAATTTTTTCTCATTTTATTTTTATTAATAATTATAACCATATTATCTTATTCTTTATATCTTGTTTTCAAATATTTATTAAAATAATAAAAACTTTATTTCAGTCCCATGTTTAAGATTATTTTAAGTTAAAAGCACATTAAAATCACAGGAGTATTGGGGAATTTTTCTCAAAAAAAAATTGTAATTTCTCTCCTTAATTTATAAAAAAGAAAAGTAGGGAAAGAAAGGTTTAAGCTATATTATACCCACACTGACACTGGACACGAGACATGACATGTCACGTTAATTTTAAAAAAAATATTATATTTCGACACGTTTTGATGTTAAATAATATTTTTAATATATAATATAATTTATATTTAATACATATAACAGTCCATAATAAGTCATATAACTAATCAAATATTCAAATTCCATAACATAAATATAAAGCAAAAATAATTTTTTATATCATGTTAATTTTTTGTGTAAAATTTCATAACAGACAAAAATTGACTTATAAATTAATTTTTTATTTTTAATTAATAAAATAAAAGTTAGAGCTAGAACGTGTGTCGAAAAAAATTAACTATATGTCAAAATGTATCAAAGCGTTGACGTATGTCAAACACACGTGTCAAATATCCGACACACAAATTTTTTAGAAGAAGAGATGTCCGTGCTTCCGAGAGTTTAAGTCATGTCCTCGTATGCAGTTACTAGCGGCACCTATAGGGAAACCAAAAAAAAAAAAAAAAATTATAATTTTCTACGTAATAGAAATATAAATCATCACGCAAACATTCACCCGCAAACCATTCATATATTTATAACATAAGTTTATAAAACTCAAATATAACTCATTTATATAATAAAACTTAAAACTAGTTAACAGAAAACACAAACTTAATCAAATATTTTGAATGATGATTGAAGTCGTTTCACTTGTTGCCAATAGCGCAAATCCTGCACAACGTTATTAACACATCATAGTGCAAACACCTAACTACAAATCAGAATCAAATCCTTCTTCGTTCCACACCACCAAAACGAACTTCATACATATCCACAAATCCCTCAAATAAGTATTTTCTGTGTTTAAGCAGATACTCAAAGGGTTGACATTTGAATAAAAAAAAACAGTGGATCGATCTCTCGCAATTGGCTTATTTTAATCAAAAATATATATTCAGTGGGACATTCATCTCGTGTCTGTCGATGGCAAATGTCTTGAGTTAAAAATTTGAAGAAACGAAAGCATGTGAAAGAGAGTCAGAGTAAATCCATTATTTAACACTCAAAACACAGTAATACACCCCGTAAGACATAATCACTCTGGCGTGCAGATTACACGCAAGCACCGTGATATGTTGCGAGGGCACGATGGAGAGAATAGAGTCAAATACAAACTGAAACAGATTATCAGTGTGCCAGGCAAATCAAACTTATGAGAATACGAGTCAATATCTCAGAAAGGGGATATAGCTAATATGGTTAAAAAGCTAAAGACAACGTAATATCTTCAGCCTTGAACCTTCGCCGCACTCATTCCTCTTCTTCAGCCTCCTCCAGCCAACTAACAAAAGGTTCCAGTGCCTTCACGAAGGTTTGCCTGTTGAATTCCAAATAAGCAACTATAAGTAAATGGTATGGCAGTAAGAATAAATTATAGACACCGTACGGAGGAAACTTAATTAGGAGATTTTTTTACATGTCAGAGAAAAGTCCACAAAAAATTGCATACCTGCCCTTGGTGTTTGTTCCTTTTCGAAACCAATGAAGAATGGTATCTTCAGCAAGCACATCCTGCTCATAAAGAGATCTAACAATCTCAGGGAACAGCTTCATCAGTTTAGCATCCTCATAGCATTGCATCTGTACTTTGTACATCAGTTCCAGCTCAAGTTTCCCACTGGTGCAGAATGTATTCAATAGTTCTGCCCATGTTTTTACCTTTATCATAAACAAAGCACTGTCATCAACACCTTTTATAAAGATAAAACATGTCACACATATGAAACTAACTCGTTAGTTTTCTGGATAAGTAATTATATGGAAAATCCATTCACTAAAAGTAGGCATAACCATTAAAACAAATCAAAGTGCGCATGTGATAACACTGTAAAAGAAAACCATATCACCACTCAGAACTTGTTACGCAGAAATCAGCTAGCTTACAAATACACAACATTCAACTGCTCCTTGTAGATTCACAAACCATTAACATGTAACATGCACAGATAAAACATCAAGAGATTCAAACCATAAAAATTTAAAAACCAACGAACATATTCCAGTCAGCAAATCTGATTTGGATCATAAAACATGAATTTTAAAAACACCATACTTGAATCTGTTTCCTGTTCAATAAGAAACCCAAATACACAAGGTCCAAGATAACAAAGGAGAAAATATCCACGCAACCAGATGAAAAATATCTAAAGGATACCTGACGCAGGGCTGAATTTGCATTCTGTTGCTGATTTTTCCCTGACCACTGAACAGCATCCATTAAAACATCCCACAAGACCCGCACAATCTCAGTGTCTGGCAATTTAGCATCTCTAACTCGCAGCTTCACAGTTTCAATGACTTCAGATATATCAACCTCCTCCGTTATCTGCGTTGTTAAAGCAGACTTCATTTCCTTAAGTTTCACCTCAAATATTTTCTTTTCATTATACTCCACCAAGGCCTCCAGTCCTTCCTTGCTAAAAAGTTGACAATGAATAGACATATATGAGGTCCACCATAGTTAAGAAAACAATAGGGAATGACAAAAACACAGTCTACTAGTCTAACTAGATACCCACCTATAAAAATGCCAGACAATAATAGCAATTGGATGAAAACAAGACTACAAATCACCCCCGGGAATTTTAAAAACAGATAAGAAAACCCACACTTTAGATTATCAATTAGCAAATGTCTTATTCAAGCCAAATGATAAGCAGACTCGGAAACAATAAAAATCCACACTTCAGACATCAAAAAATTGGTAGTAGACGACCATTGAGACTTGCACTTCTGCCTTTCTATCAGTATATTACACTAAGATTATGCCAAGTACTTAATCCGAATCCGGAAAGACGCAGAATAATTTTAATATTATATTCACCCACATATTACACTAAGATTAATCTCAAAAGGTATTAGTATTTTGCAAAAATAAATCTATCACAAACTGCCAAAAAAAACAAAAGAACCAATGGCATAAACAAAAAAATCAACAACGATATAAAAAACAAGCATTTTGAAACATTTTCTAGGAAGATGTGTCCTTTTCACTATTAAGTAAGACTTACGTGAAATGCTCAGAGAAAGACTCATTAGATCTTTTCGTAGGGGGGAAAAAGTCCAAAAGATTTTCCTCTACTTTACCCCGTTTCAGAATTGAAATAAGGTCATCTAGGCTGTTGTCAATCAGATACTCTTTAAAGAAGTCAGTTATAAATGACAGAACTAGCCCTTTGGCCACAAGGTTATCTTTAAGAAGTGGTTGGAACACGGTCTCTGGTGGCAGACCAGATAACTTCTGGGAAAAAGCAAGTGCTGTGAAGATTGCCAACTTTTTCCTCTCATTTTCCTCGAAAAGCTCCAATGACTGAAGGAATCTTCGCATGACATTTTCAAGGTTCTTGATGAGAAATGGCTTTCGCCGCAAAATCTTTTGTATGTAGATTACTGATGGTAAGATGAGTTCACGCTTTGGCTCAACCTCTATTATAGAGTAAGGATGGCGTTCCCCCTCATCAGGCTTGGTAGTTCCAGGTTGTGTCCGGCCCCCAGTGAAAACAACCTACAGTAAAACAATATATTAATACTGAAATCAACAAAGAGACAATAAAGGTTTTCTGCAGGTTTAGGAAGCTTGCCTCAAAAAAGGTGTCACCGTATCTAGAGAAGTTAAGGTCTGCAGATTCAATGGTCTTGGCAATAAGTTCCTATAAACATGAATTACTAAATCAGATTTATGAATCAATCGGAGTGAAACGGTCCGTACGGAATGCAAGTGGTAGGCAAATGAATAAGATGTAAAGTGCGACATTAATATTACCAGATCACCAGCATTATCCAAATAAATCTGGACCACTGCATCCGAGAATGCTGCAGGGTCCAGGGGAGCTGCAATATTCCGTTTGCGGGTCTTAATCCGCGTGCCACTGGGGATTGAGACAAACAAAACAAAAAAAGTGAACCCCAACAGAGATTAAACATATACAAGATATAATGCAATAATAAAAGCTGCATGTAATAACTAGATCATATTATACAGGCACATGAACTGAAAGATTGCAGAGCTGCATGCATAATAGCATTTATATTGTTAAATTATAGTTTGTTAAGATGATACATAATCCTCTACTACCACGAGGAGCAAGAGGTGCAAAGAATCTAAGCCGGTCAAAAAGAAAAAATTAAATGGGGTCCCGTTTGTTAGAGAAAGTGTACGATGGGAGTGTAAATTAAGAAGGCAAGACTGTCATCAGACACATCACTTAAACGATTGACAGATAAAAGGTATAATTCAAAAAACTGTCTTCGTTCTATTGATAATGCTTACCGAGTACCAGTACTTTACTTTCACGCTCTCCAAAATGAAATAAACAAAAAGCCTTTGCTGTATGCATGGACGTTAGGAGGGTAAGGGAAGGGAAAGGAAGAAAATCAAAGATAAACGGGAAGCTTAAGAAATGATTTTAATTTTCCTTCTTTTTGAAATGTCAATAAAATTGTCGAGCATGGCATGGACACAGTTATGTTTAATTAAGCATATTTCACCTACGATCCAAGCAAAACATAAAAAGAACAAAACATAGCTTAACCACATAAAATATGGAAAAAATAAGGACAAGGGATTAACGTTAAGGGAGAAAGACTCACCCAAGAGTGGGTCTCTCCTTCGAGCTGCAAGAAAGACAATCAAGTTTAGTAAGGGAAGAAGAAAAATTAAAGATAAATCGCCAACCAATACACACCCACACTATAACTAGAAAACGCGCTACAAGGCAGAAAACCCGTGACGATAATAACAATAATAACAAATTAAATTAAACAGGTTTTACTCAACATCTTTCATAAACTGAAATGTAAATCCATTAAACCCAATCCCAACTAAAAATAAATCATTAGCAAAAAAAAATGAGGAAAAAAAAAAAAGCGATTTTGGAAGAATATATATATAAAGAAAGAACAAATGCCTTGGAATCCAAAACGAATTTAATTTTGGTAAAGACAGCGTAGATCCGAAGATGTTCAGAGTAAACAAAAGGATTAAAAGGAACCCAAATCGACAATAAGTCTCTGGATCTAAGAAAATCATGACAGAAATAATGAAAATAGTTGATCTATTAAGATAAAATCAAGGTAATTGCTGGTTCGGTGAAACAATAAAGGGAAATGGTTAGAAAATTTCAAAAAGCGATCACATCGCGATGGTTCAGATCTGGGAAACGAGAAACACAAAACCACATCAAAGATATCAGAAGAAGATAAAGAAAGAAAAATAAACCTCATAAACCAAGACGAAAAGGAATCGGAAGATCGGTGAGTCTGAGAGTCGGTGCTTGTCGAGGAGCAAGAGAGAGAAAGAGGGAGAGAGAGAAGGAGATAGAGAGAGGAAGAAGAGAAAGAGAAATGAGAACCTAAATTCTGATTTGAGTTTCGGCTACTATTATTCATCCAGTATAATTAATTTATTAATTAATATTGTTAATTGTTAATATTAATATTAAATATTAATATTAGTATAATATTACACCCGAGTAAAAAAATCTTCAATAATATCTTTTTAATGAAAGGAATGTAATTCATGTGACAATAATTATAAAAAAAAATAAAGGAGAATATTACTCTTATCTTATATAAGAATAAATTTGTATGCAGTCACATATTAAATAGAGATGATAAGAAAAAATATAAAGTAAGTCTTATCTTTTTGATTTGTGAGTATAAATTTTTTATTTTTTTTAAGTTTCCAGAAATAAATAGAATGAATAAATCAAATGAATATTTTTTAAATTTTAGTAGGTAATAAATGTAGTAGTAAGATATTTTCCAAAGCACCCACCCAACTTGTACCTGACGGCAATAATGTGCGTGCGTGAGTGAGTTGGCTTCTGAGGCTTGTTTCTACTAAACTTGTGTGCTATTTTTTGCTAGAGTTAATAATGTACTAGAGTTCAGTCAAAAAGATTCTTGTTATTTTGGATTTTTCTATTTTGAAAAAACTACACTTTTCTTTTTTAGAAAGGTGTTACTATGAGTTATAATTCTGTTCTGACTGATTCACATAGGTCGGTTGTTCAAGAGCTAAGCCCTGTAGTATCCCACATGTGTGTGATTTTTATGTACTCTCTCAATGTATTGCTCACTGTCGTACACGGTGACATATAGGCTAACACGGCTCATTTCTCCCTCTTATTATTTAGAAATATTCTCCCACTTATAAAAATTCCTTTTTTCAAAAAAAGTTATATAATATCACAGTTTTTTATTGAATTGTTATTTTGCTAGATTTTAGAGTTATTGTTATTCTTATAGATAGATCCATAGCTTAATCACATATCCTTAGAGCACTTATATATTTTAGAGTAAATACATTTTTTCGATCCTCAGTAAATTTTACGATGTCCGCTTTAGTCTCTAGTAAATAAAAAGATTATTCATGGTCTCTAAGAATTTCAAAGTGAATCCATTTTAGTCCTTTTGAGAGACTAATGTGGATCTTTTTTGAATTTGTGAGGGACAACAATTTCAACTAAATGGGTTTATTTTGAATTTCTCAGGGACCACAAATAACTTTTTTATTTGCTATGGACTAAAGCAGGTATCGTGAAATTTGCTGAGGAACAAAAAGGGTATTTAGTCTATATTTTATCCACATATCAACAATAAAAGATAACAAGGATAAAGAGATAAAAACTCTTATCCTTACAAGTTAGAGACTGAATCATATATAAATTTGGAGATCTTGACAGCCCAAGCACAAGAGGTAACTTCTATAAATAAAAGACTAAAGACCCTAGGTACACACTTTGAATCTACTTTATTATTGTTGCCAACACTGTGCACACACCTACATATTGGCTATAAGACTATTGCTTATGCGCAGTGATTACAGTATTGGCTATAAACCAATCAAGATATCTCTGAACGCATACCATACGATATATACATCTACAATTCTCTAGGACCGAACAGTTATCATCACACACACCCTACTTGAAGCCTTACAACTATTTATGCTTACTATTGGTAAAGAAAAAAAAAATTACCGGAAAAAAATTATTTTCAGGAATAATTTTTTTTTTGGATAAGTTATTAAAAGGTGTTTGTAAGCCAACATTTTTTAAGGAATGTTAATGTGTGTTAATTTTTCAATCACATGGAAAAAATTCACCCCATCAATAGTAGTCTTCTATAACAATTTTATATAGAAAAACAAATAATGATAATTTTTTTTTTAAAACTTTACTTTTACTTCACCTCGTATCAAATATAGGTAAATAATTTTCTCACCCACTTTTGCTGTAAAAAAAAATTCACCTCCTACCAAACACCCTCTTAGAGTTTTGGTCCAGAATCTGATTGACACCCATACACCGAAATACTTCAGCCGGATCAAATTCTTATAAATTATAATATTTATCTTGGAGAGTATATTTTTAAGTAAGTGTACTCCCAAAGCAAATAATGTAGCTCGTAAACAAAAAAAAGTATAAACATAATGTTTTCCGGATTATTTTTTTGGAGAAGGAATTTTACTCTCTGTAACTGTGGCGAGACTAGTTTTGAATACTTATTATTCATTTTGGAAATAATAGGGGTGTTAGAAATTTCCATTTTTCTAATATATCAAACAAAGTAAATAGTAATGATGTTTAATGTTAACTACCACTGACACGGAAAGTTATACAAAAAAGCCAGTAATATATTTTTTAAATTAAAATAAATTAGAGTATAACATAATATTTTTATAGGTATAGAAGTTTAATTTTTATAATTAAATGAAAAAATAGTATAATTTGAGCATCCTTCAGAAAATTGGAGTGTAATTTGTCGTTTCATTTTTTATTAATAAATCCTTTTAGAAAGGGAATAAGAAAATCCCCATAAAACAAAAAGCGGTGCATAATCTTTTTTTGTAATACAATTAAACCGTTTTAAACAAATATAAAAAATAAAAAATTTATTGCTGAATATATTCAAAACAATGGTTAAGAAATAAAATAAAAAATTATATATTAAACATTATTATAATATTTCGAATAGAATGAATATTTAATACTTATTTTTTAAGTAATGATAAGTATCTAACAGAAGATATTATATATTCATTAATTGATGTCTCTATCGCAATTGTTAACAAAATTTAAAATATGAATATGAATTTTTCAATTTATGGAAATGTATGGAATCATTTCCAAAAAAAAAAAAAATGTATGGAATGGTAATAAGTGAGAAAATCACGTGTTTGGTCAAGCATGTTACCAATATTAAACTTTCTTTTAAAGGTATGTAAACTTCTAAACTCTGTTTGTACTCCTATTATAATAATTATACAATTATCTTTAAATATTTATCAGCTTTACATTTTATAATTATCATGTCTTTTGTTTAATTTTTTCTGTGTTTAAAATAAGGGAAATGATATTGTGACAACCAAGTTGTGTTACTACCAAGTGACTACCAATCAATCTCACCATTAGATCGATTATGTTGATCCAACGGTTATATTTATTTTCATCTTTGTATGGTTATGATTCCTCATAATTAAAGTGAAAGCATTAAATATGAGAAATCATAACCATACAAAGGTGAAAATAAATATAAAGTATTAAATTTGGAAAATCATGACCATACAAAGATGGAAATAAATATAACCGTTGGATCACTATAATCGATCTAACGGTAAGATTGATTGGTAGTCACTTGGTAGTAACACAACTTGGTTGTCACAATATCTTTTTCCTTAAAATAAAAAAAAAATTATTTAAAACTTTTAGAAAAATAAGCTCAACTAAACATGCTACCTTTTTTTTTATCTAAATCAAAAACTAAAAAAAAGTGAATTGTTAAGCCATCAAAACCATTATATTAGTCATAATATTATAATTAAACAGATTGATATAAGTAAAAAAAAAAAACAAGTTTCGTTAAAGAATTACTAAAACGTACACCGAAATAATAAAACTGCAATGGTTTAATTATAGGAACACATGTTTTTCTTATTGTATGAGATAAATTGTCTAGTACAATACACAAAAAATGGATAGACCCATTTTTTCCTTTCTCTTTCCTCTCTTTAGTTAATCATAATATTTTTTTGAGAGTTGCACGAGACAACATGTCTCATCATGTAATAAAAAAAATCAAACACTTAATTATTAGTACTCAATAAACAAAAGATATCCGTATCATATAATTTTGATTGTTTTAAATAAAATGGTTAATAGCTCCTTAATTGCAAATGTTGGACTAGGCTAATCCTTAAAAGTAAGCCTCCCCTTTGCATCAGCCCAACGAGTCTCCCTTCTATGGGCCTAACCTGAGAATCATACAACGCAACAACCTATAAAGGACATAGATCCAAAAAGACTGTACAATCCAACTTCGGATTGGGGTTTGTCATTTGTAGGTTGTAGGTCCACCAAAAAATATGTATAGTTTCTTGGCCTGTCAAGAATTGACCTTTTTTCAATATATATATAGGGAAATAATAATCTTATGTTACATAAGATTGTTATCTTATGCATAAGACACAAAGTAAATGTGGGACCCATTTTAAATTTTTTTTTTCTTCCTTATTCTCTCTCCTCTCCCTTCTCTATGTGTGTGTAGGAGATAACTCTCCTCTTATGCAACATGAGAAAAGACAATCCCATATATATATATATATATATATATATATATATATATATATATGGAAAAAGTGTTTATCATATTAAATGACATAAAGTTGTATCATTTTAAAAGAGAGATAGACACAAAATAAATTTTTTTATTTAAATTTTAAATTAAAAAAAAATCACCCACTTTATCTCTCTCATGATTTTCATTTTCTGTGTCTATCCTAATATGTCCAGGTTTACCACAGCTGTAGCAAATAGTTGGCTTAATTGGTTTGGATGTATTTTGTGATTTATTTGTTTCAGTATTTGGCTTAGGATTTTCATTTTTAAACCTTTTGTTGTAGTTGGGTTTCTTACGAAAATTCCTAAAAGTTTTAACCTGTTTTTGTTCCTGTTTTTTATGTTTTTTAGGTTTTGTAGTACAAGGCAGACCAAATTGTTCACAAAAAGATCCTAGATCTTTACGATTTTGAGTTTTTTCTTTTGCAAGTTGACGTTGGATTTTATCATCTTGACAGATTTTTAAAGCTACCTTTTGGATATAAGCAACTAATTGTCCATAACTTAATTGCTCATAAGGGATATCTCCAGTTAGAGATTGATGACGGATTTTATCCCTAACTTTGTCTCCTAAAGATTTTGGAAGACCAGCTAAGAATTTTTCTTTCCAGAAAGGTTGTTGACTATCATCTCGAGTGTAAACCCTAGTTAGGAAGGTATCTTTATACCAGCGAAAGTCACCTAAGGTTCTACATTTAAGATTGGATAGGAGTTCAGCAGAACGATCTTTCCATAAG